AAATTATCGATCAAAATAATCCAACAAACGATACTCCATAATAGAGCCGCATATGAACAAAAATGGTACACTAAGGTCCTAGATTTTATGGACCAGTCAAAAATATTATTATCCTGGATCTAGATTATGAGACAAATGCACATAATTTTTATTTTAACTAAAATAAAAGAAAAAAACACAAAGATGGTACATTACCAATTTGTATTTATCGATCGTGAAAGGACTATATTCGTATCTCTCGGCGTAAGTAGACTTCATGACTGTGTTGCAAGACTCCAACTTGATAGAATAAGACGATAGTGATCATCTACCCATTTTAAAAGACCACTTGACCACACACTCTTAGTTGCTGGATGGCTGTTTTTGCATTTTCGTTGGGTCAAGGGTAATTTGCCCCCCAAAAAAAAAACGGTTATCCTGAGGGGCTTGTTTTGCAATTTTTCCATGATAAATGTAACCACCTTATATATTCCAGAACTTTTAATTTTCCATAACAAGCACGAGGCAAACAAAAAAGGTAACAACATTATCTTGTAATGAAAGATGGAGATTTTTCTCAAAAAGAAAAAAAAACAGTATCCTGTAATAATTGCATAAATATCTTAAATCATCAATCACTCTAAAGTGTATAAAAGTCTCACTGATCTCTCTGTTCTCTACACTTCATTCACATATACAATCTTAAAAGATGACGAATTACTACTACACAAACACCATTTCTATTACTTATCTCTTGTTGTCTCTCTTCATCACATGTTCTTCTGCACATTCCATCATACGACAATTCACTGATGCTGACATCAACACAAATATCCAGCGTATGCAATATCTTTTGCTCTTAGTTTTGATCCAATATATTCAAGAATAGAGAAAATCCATCTGTGTATTTTAGATTGTCTCTTTGGACTGTTTAAATCCTCTACATATTTTTTTTTGAAATGCTCTGTTTTCTGTCTCAAAACAGAGGATAATGGAGCAAGATCAAACCCAAACCTGGAAGACGCACCATACGTCTTACATGAGCATCAAGAAGTCTCATCACGTGATTACAAAGTCTCGGCTTCAAACAGAGTTCAGGGTCTGAGAGATCGTCCTCCATCGTCTTACTCTCTCAAGATGGAATCTTTCAACACACTCCTTAAGTCAACCAACACAGAGAAATATGTATCTCGTCCTTTTGCGGTTGGTGGATACAACTGGTATGTTTATTTACGCGAATCGAATCTTATACAAGAAAACAAATCTTTTGATGGATCTCTCATAATGCAATGTGTAAATACAGGACACTTGTTGTGTACCCTAACGGGAACAAGAAGGATAGTGGTTCAGGGTACCTTTCGCTTTACGTAGCCATAGACAACTCGACCTTCGTCGCTGCACATCAAGAGGTTTACGCGGATCTAAGATTTTACGTCTTCAACAAGAACGAGAGGAAGTACCTCACCATCCAAGGTTTTTGCTAACTTTTTCAAACCCCCTCCAAAAAAATATGAACTTTTAACAAGAAATATTCTCTTTATGTATAGTAATATTTATCGATCTATATTTTGTTGCGGCAGATACCGATGGATGGAGATTCAATTACTTCAAAACGATGTGGGGATTCTCTCAGGTTCTCCCTCTTGATACATTTAAAGACTCGAAAAACGGATACCTCTACGATGGAGATCACTGCGAGTTTGGTGTTGATGTGACCATTCCTTCTCTCTTTGAGAAATCAGAACTTTTCTCTGTCGCTGAGAATTTCCAAAACTCGAGATTCACCTGGACCATTCGGGGGTTCTCCATGTTGGACAAAAGTACTTACTTCTCAGATGTGTTCTCCGTTGGAGGAAGAAGTTGGTGAGTCCACATTAATTTCAAAACACAAAAGCTTTAGTTAGAGTATTTAGTGGTAGTAACAAGTATATCGTATGACTATCAGGAAAATACAAGTGGATCCAAATGGTCGTAACACTGGAGAGGGAAAAGCCTTGTCGATGTATCTTAATCTTGATGAGAACGAGAAATTCAGACCATATGAGAAGATTTATGTTCGAGCCAAGCTTCGAGTTCTTAACCAACGCCAACACAGTAACGTCGAAAGGCCACGTAAGCAGATGATATATATATCGTAATCACTAAGGACACATGCACGATGACTAATGCGTGTTTTCATGTGATCTTTCATTTTTTTTGGCAGTCGATAATTGGTACAATGGTCCGGGATATGGAAAGGGATTTGCTTGGGGTTATAATGAGTTTATCTCACTCTCGGATCTCAAAGATTCGTCAAAGGGTTTCGTCGTGAATGATATGTTGATGGTTCAAGTCGAAATTGAAGCCATTTCTTCAACCAAGTACTTCCCTAGTTAGAATTCGCAGCTCCATGTTTGCTTTAATATCTACCACTTAATAATAAGAATCCGTGTTTGCGTTTTAAATAAATGATCTTTTCATAGAAACATCATTGAAAAATTATCACTATTCTTGAAAGCACCAATGACTTTTACAGTTTTACCCAATAAAATCGTTTATCGAACATTAGGTTGTTGATGCTTTGCTCAAAAATTTCAACATTTAGCACAAATCTTGTCTTTGGAGCATTACTTGGAAAACGAAACCGAGTTATTCATGACCATGTGAACTTGTTTGGTGACTTGTCTCTTAAAAGCATAAAGGGTTTTTACTCAAATATTGGACATATATATATGCCTCAACAGCATATGAGGATGCATGTTGTTAGGCTATACAAAACTTATGTCAACTTTAGCCATTAGAATGATATTGTCCAGTTTGAAAATCACGTGATCAAGTCCGCATGAATTTTCCTTTTTTTGTTCCTTCTTACACAACCGCATACTAATTTAAATTAGACTTGACTTGTATACATTAAACCATCATTGTCTAATGTTGGATTTTGATTGATATCCTAACATGTGCGAACAAAAGTCTTTGATAAATTTTCTTGTTTTTGCAGAAAACATTTTTTTTTATCCAATCATAATTTTCAAAAAAATGGCACCCTAATTTTTAGGGAAACTAGTTTTTCCTCCCTTTTACTATTTCCTACACAAAACTAGAATCCATATTCCTTAGGTTTTTCGAAAAAATTGCAGAGAGTTTATTATTCTTTC